GAGAGAGAGAGAGAGAGAGAGAGAGAGAGAGAGAGAGAGAGAGAGAGAGAGTGGCGGAGGAGGAAGAGCGAGAGAAGGCGAGGCCTTTCTCCCTGGTACCTGTCCCGGTAGCTATGGCGCTGCAGGAGGCTGGCGCTGGGCCGCAGGCTGGGCCGGTGGCTGGCACTGTTCCTGCTGTGCTGGTTCCTCCTTGCCAAACGGGGTGAGAAAGGTCTCACAGCTTTGTTGGCCATGAGAGCGAAAAGGGAAAAGGAAGGGTTTTTCGGGCTTGAGGACAGGAACTGCGAAAGAACCACTGGCCGAAGTATGGATAGGGCCAATATTATTATTTTATTTTTATTTTTGTCTTTATTTTTATTTTTATTTTTAGTTTTAATTTTGGAAAAAGTAAAGTAAATAGTTTGCTGCATTGTCTTTTCCGAATTCCGCCGCCAGCCTTTGTCCGTTGGATAAAAAACGTTTCTCGGCGCCGCCTGGGGCAAGTCGCGTGAGCGACTTACCATTGGTTGGAAAATTTTCAGTAGGAGCGAAGGGGCTTTCACCCACATTGGTAGATATATTCGATGGACCGGGAGTACTACTCCTCTTGACCTGAGCAGCAGGACAGAAGGGTTAAGCGCCGGCGATTGTTGTTCCCGGCGAGATGGGTGTTCTATTGCTGTGACATGTAAAGTCCTACGGACACCTTCATTGTTTTACATGGCATGAGAGCTGTTCGATCGACCTTGCAGTCGAGCTTGGGGAACGATCGAGCAGCGCCGCTTGGCACCATCGCCAGCGTGCTTTCCGCTGTTTTGGGTTTTCTCTTCTTTGTGTTTTGTTCGTCTTCTTTTTCTTTTTTCTTTTTTCTTTTCGTATTGAGCCCGAAGATACATCGGACAGTGGTTCTTTATCCTGGATACATCTCTTGCTTGGATACCTTTCCTTCCTTCTCTCACATGGTGCGGACATCGCTCGAGGTTGGGCTAAGACGTAATGACGTTCGAGTGCCAGGGGCTGGCCTCACGTGGCGGGCGCAACATGTCGAAGATTTGTAACGTGGATAGAGTCATCGTAAGAAGACTCACACGGCACTGACATCGCTCAGTAACAAGGCGACGATCGGTTGATAGGGCTGGCATCACGTGACGGGCGGTACATCGGACTGTGCCGCAGTGAGCTGATGCTGTGAACTTGATCGGAGGATGGATCGCACTCGTGGAGTGTGAACATCGAACCACGTCAGGGTGGAGTGACGTTCTGATGCTAGAAGCTTGCCTCACGTGGCGGGTGGCATGTGTCGGCTAGGCGTTGACACGTCAGAGCGTGCCGGTGAGGATGGTACTGATTGATGGCTGGATCGCAATTGGAGATGTTGATCGGCGAGCCACGTACGCGGAGAAGTAAAAATTTCGGCATTGATATTGCCTGATTGGTATAGTACACCTGAGAGGCCGCGTGTGTAAAACCCCGTGTCGGAAAAAAGGGGGGGTGTTGGTGAATTGTTGCGTCATCAGGAGTATGTAACTAACTTGGGACTTGGGAAGTACTTCGACTACTTTATTACGGGAAACAAATCACTCATTGCAGTGATAAGTCTGAAGGGGCGCGTCGTTATGGGATACTCACATCAGTAGTAAACCGGATGATCAGTTGAATCCGACACAATTGGCAGTCCGAGGGGGCGCGTCGTTGGGGATTAAAGCAGGATCTAAGCGTAGTAGAGAAAAAGGGGATTAATCGTGGATAGATTTGGGTGATCGGCTCCATGGGGACTGACAGGGCAGGGGGGAACATTTACAGGTGGTAATGGTTATTATAACCAAGGATTTGGTCGTGGCAATGGGAGTAATTACCAACAGCCGCGCGCATTCTTTACCAGGGAGCAGGTGGATTTTCTGGAGAAACTGAAACTGAAGGATGCAGTTGACGAAGCCAGGAAAAAGGACCTAGAGGAGATAGCCAGGTTGAAGGCCATCAAAGAGGAAAGTGAAAAAAGAAAAGAAAAGGGTAAGAATGAGAAGGAGGATGGGAAAAAGAAGAATGGTCGCGATAAAGAGAAAGGGAAAATTGTGGAGGATGGGAGAGAAGATGAGATGAAAAAATGGGTCGCTGAGAATTTCGGAAATTCATTAAGAATCTTGACATAAAAATTGGATGTTGTCGAAAAGAAATCTAAGACTACAAAAAGTGAGAGGGAGGAGTTGAAGCTGTTGAGGGCTGAAAAGGAGCTGAGAGAATTACGGGAAAATTCAAGTGCAGAGAAACGTAAACGGGAACCGGCTTCACCAGTGCGTCCACAGATGAACAAGACCAGATCACGATCCAGTATGCTGAAAAAAGGCAGCAAAGGGAAGAAGCCAGTCGAAGTGTCCTCTGACGACAGTGGGAAAGAGAAAGATGTTGTAGTACAGAACCTGGGTGGGAAAATGGAAGACATGGCCGGGAATTTGAAGAAAGTAGCACAGTTGAAAGACCTTCTGCTGGAAATTTGGATGCAAAAGGGAAAGAAGCTAGCTGCAGCAATAGCGAAGGTAATCAAGACGGAGAAAAAAGAGCAGATGCGCTGGATGAAGGGGGCGAGGGGAAGAAGGTGACGACCGAGGGGGATGAGGGCATGGCGAAGGGAACAAGAAAGGAGGAATGTACGCTTGGCTTATACTTTAAAGATAGGGTCGTGTACTATGATGCCATGCACTACACAGAGATCCAGGAGATGTGCAAGAAGAGAGGGGTTACTTACAGAAGGAAGGAAGCAGGGGTATGGGAACTAGCAAGATTGGACTTCGAGGTGCTTTTGAAGATGGAAAAGCCTGCAGAGAAAGAAGCGGATACTGACTCCAAGACCAGTAAAGAAGAAGCTCAGAAGAAAGTTCGAGTTCCGAATCGGAAAAGAGCCCAGACGAAGAAGATGATATTGCGGGAAACTAGGGGGGGCTAGCAAGCGGTCAATACTGAGATTATATAAGAGGCTCTGTCTGCTTCGGGACAGACATGAGCCGGGGATACAGAAAGTAATTGATTGTTTGCTGAAACTCTTGGTTCTGACCTTAGGCTTGAGAGGGTTTGTGAATTGGGGAAGGGCATATGTGAAATATTGGTTTGACCTGGGACCAACCGAGAGGGAACGGATCTTTAATGCTGATTCTTGTGTTTATGTCTTATTATCTCCTTTTTTCAAATTGGCATATGTTGGGAAGACAAAAAGGAATCTTCATACCAGATGGAAAGAGCACATACAGTCGGCCAGAACAGCACCCAAGCAGAAACTGCATAGGTGGCTCGAAAAGGTGGGAGTTGTTAACTATGTAGCTCTTCCCATTTGGTTTGGAACAAGCATGCTCTAGCTAGCATGGAAGAATATATCATTGGAGCTAATAATCCAGGGCTAAATACAAGAAGATCAAACAAACTAACCAGGAGGAAGCCAAGAAGGAAAGCTAAGGATAAAAGTGGGAATTGGGAAATAGAGAAGGCAATTTTGTTTGAGTGTGAGCAACTAAGTATAAAGGGAGAACCTAATTTAATAAAGATTCTGAAGAAAGATGGGAATCAGAAACAACTGAAAATTGTGAATAATAAAGGGAAAAGGTGGTTAAAGTCATGGGGATTAGTGAAACTTATTTACGAAGATAGCATTGTGGAGTTCCTGGGGAAGAAGTTTTTGTTAAAAGACGTCAAAGCATTTATTCAGGAAGGGGGTGAATGGAAGGTCATAAACCTGAAGAAGACCAAGAATCGATCCGAGGTCGCAAAAGCAGAAGTGATAAATCTGCTGAGAGCCCCTTGAAAGAGGAGAAATTTGTACAAAAAGAATTTGGATGAGTTGGTGGAACTAAACAGGGGGATTAAATTAGTTAACACAGTGGAGGCAGGCAAAGCATTAGGGGGATTCTGACTAGAGTCACTAAGAAACGTTTTGGGATAAATCCAAGACATAGAATTATAGTAAAATTACCTTTTTGTGAAACAATTGGAAAAGGAAGGGTACATGGGAAATTCAAGAAATGGTTGGAAAAGAAGATCGAGCCGACTAGCTTGTCTAACTTGTTGGTTGGTAGGATGAGAACAGTCTGGCAGAAGAGAAAGTCTATCGGAGAAATCCTGCATAACCATCAGCGCTTCGCAAGAGGAAGTGGATTCCCTTGCACTTGCAAAGCGTTTGACCTGCCTCGTCATGAGGGGCACGTTCAAGTTTGACTTGAAGAAGTCGAATGGATACGGGAATTTGTATGTAATGCAAAGAACGTTCCTTTTCCTGGGAGCTTGCTCACGGGAAAGGAAGTGAATGTGGCATGTAATCTGGCACTTGAACCGTTGAACATAATGGGTTGCCTAAGGGCTGATGAAAGATTCCAGATTTGTTGGAAGGAATTTGGGTTGAAAAAGTCGCAACCTAGGCATGGATGTGACACAGAATACGTCCTTGGAATAAAAGAAGCATGCGCTGGGCTGGTTCTCTCCCCATTGGATAGAAACACGGGAGCAACACTAATCGAATGTCCAGTCTTGTATGAAGAAGCAATGTCCAAAATCTACAACGACAATGGTGGATACAAGAAGGTGAGTGCATATGAGAATACTATTCTCAAAAAAACGAAAGTCGCCTATCAAGAAGGAAAGCTGACGAAGATTGCGAAATGGGATCAGAAAGGGAGAATACAAGAGGCATACATTTTGTTGAAAGACAAAGACCTTCAGAAAAAACGGCCTATTGTACCTTCCTTCTTGAGACCTGCTAAGAATGCAATGGGGTATCTAGCACAAAGCTTGAATTTTCTCATAAGAAGATTAAAAGTGAGACACTTCAACATCAATGGTGCAAAGAACCTGAAGCAAATGATGGGAAAGATCAATGAAGAAGCAAATAAAAACTTTGGACTGGGTGGTGAAATATGTGCAAGAACATACGATGTGAAGGAAATGTTTACTAAATTACCACACAAAGAGATTATTAGGGGCGTTGAATGGATCGTACAACATTTTATGGACAAAGGGAAATGCTGGATACGGATCAAGACAAGAGGGAAAACGGCTACATTTGGTAAACCACAAGGGGAAGCAGGATGGAAGTCTATACCGCTATCAAAACTGGTAGCCATGACGATATTCCAATTGGAGAATACCTACTTCTACTCATTGAAGCAGTTGATGCAGCAGAGCGTTGGGATCCCAATCGGAGGGAGGGCGAGTCCTCCTCTGGCGAATGTACTGTGCATTTTTGCAGAACAACAATTTATCACATCACTTGGTTTTGATGCTAAATACATTGAAGGAGGGAGGTTTATTGATGATCTTCTCTTAATTGGCTGGTACAACGGAAAAACGACGGGAAGAGGGGAAGAGGTGGAACGCATCATGGATAAGATTGAGGAATGCTACCACTTTGATTTGCAGCTCGAGAGGACAGACACTGGAATAGGGGTGCTGGAATTTCTCGAGACAAGGGTTGTTGTCGTGGATGAACCAGCTTGGATTTACACCTTCCACAAGTTCAAGAATTTGGATACATTATGGAGAGGGGAAACTTCAAAACACTGCGGAGTTTCTACTCTTACGCTCCAATTATTCAGAAATTTGCAGCTGTATTCAATACAATGTGCAGTGTGATCGACAACACAAATACTAAGTTATCGACTTCGTGGAGTCTGACCACAACGATGAAGGAACTAAGGGTAATAAGATACCCGAAAGAGTTGTTCGAAGTAGGGATGAAAAAAGCAGCAAAAAGGGAAGCCACCCCCTTTTGGGATGAGATGACTAAGAAATTGTTGAAATGGTATGAAGATTGAAAGGGAGGGAGGGAGGGCCAAACGGGGTGAGAAAGGTCTCACAACTTTGTTGGCTATGAGAGCGAAAAGGAAAAAGGAAGGTTTTTTTGGGCTTGAGGACAGGAACTGGGAAAGAACCACTGGACAAGGTATGGATAGGGCCAATATTATTATTTTATTTTTATTTTTGTCTTTATTTTTATTTTTAGTTTCAGTTTTAATTTTGGAAAAAGTAAAGTAAATAGTTTGCTGTATTGTTTTTTCCGAATTGCGCCGCCAGCCTTTGTCCGTTGGATAAAAAACTTTTTTCGGCACCGCCTGGGGCAAGTTGTGTGAGGGACTTACCGTTGGTTGGAAAATTTTCAGTAGGAGCCACGGGGCTTTCACCTGCATTGGTAGATATATTCGATGGACCGGGAGTACTACTCCTCTTGACCTGAACAGCAGGACATAAGGGTTAAGCGCCGGCGATTGTTGTTCCCGGTGAGATGGGTGTTCTATTGCTGTGACATGTAAAGTCCTACGGACACCTTCATTGTTTGACATGGACTGACTCTGACCTGACTCGGACTGCAAACGAGCACTCTCAATCATACATCCGGGGTGTGAAAGCCCTGGCCTTGGACATAGGCGAAAGGCCAGGGTCTGAGATCATCCACGGACAAAGGGAGAGGGGAGAGAGACGAAGGGAGGAGGAGAGGGAAGATGACGTCAACTCAATGTTTCCAAAGATGGTATCTTGAAATGTCCGAGGTAGCGACAATCCGAAATGTCGCGCACACAGTGTCTCACAATGTCTCAGATATCGATCTCACAATGTCAAATACATCTTCAGAGGAAGATGAAATCAGATCCCACTAGTAGTCCTCAACCTGTAGTCCCAATGTCGCTGTCTCCAATGTCATCATACCATCCTTCACAGACTTAGACTGAGAAGGTAGGAGGAGAGAGAGAGAGAGAGAGAGAGAGAGTGGCGGAGGAGGAAGAGGGAGAGAAGGCGAGGCCTTTCTCCCTGGTACCTGTCCCGGTAGCTATGGCGCTGCAGGAGGCTGGCGCTGGGCCGCGGGCTGGGCCGGTGGCTGGCACTGTTCCTGCTGTGCTGGTTCCTCCTTGCCGCTGTGTTGATCTCTCCTCGCTGCTCGCACTAACGCTGCTGGGCTGCGCTAATCCTCTAACGCTGAAATGCTGCGCTAATCCTGAAGACTAACTCCAACCGCACTAACTTCTTACTGAGGTTGGTACCCAGCCTTTTGTAGTGCTGGGCCGGCCTCCTACCTGCTGGTACCTACCGGCCTGGACCGTTGATCTGATCAACGGTCCAGATTCGAAACTGGACTTGGCGCCAAAACGCGGCAGCCTCTGAAACTGCGCCGCTGGTAGGTCCTATGCTGGACCGGTACCAGCCTTGTGGCCGTTGGCCTGGGCCTCTACCCCTGGCCTGCCTGGACCGCCGTACCCCTGGCCTACTTGGGCCTCATCTGAACCGTTGTCCCCATAGGCCTACCCTGCCTATTTGGAGCCGGGCCCTAACTGGGGCCCGTGTGGCTCAGAATGCCACAACAGTCAAACCAAGCGTCAAAAATTGAAGTTGTGACTCAAAGGCCCAAGCAGCGGCATACCAATGAAAAATTGGGAAGGTTCCAGACCCTGACATTCGAAAGCAGACAGGCTGTGGGGATGTGGTACCGGAACCAAGTAAAGCCCCAGGAAGCAGAGGCTGGGCCGAGTTAAACAGCAGTCCAAGACACTCCTCATTAGGCAGATTGCTCATTCGCAAGAAGTGTGGAAGTGCTGGTGCACTTGTGCGCTAGTCCAGGGCAGAGCGCTGAGCCAGGATCCCGCGCTAAGAGAGAGAGAGAGAGAGAGAGAGAGAGAGAGAGAGAGAGAGAGAGAGAGGTTGCGCTGGCAGGGAGAAGGCAGCTATAGCTGCGCTAGTGCAGGGTGTTAGTGGTAGTTAGTAGGGAGTCAGTGGGCATAGAAGTGGATGTATTCAGAGTAGATCCTTGAGTAGAAGTTAGTGAGTGTGCACGCATGTAGGGAGGGAAGACACAGCGAGGACATAGCTAGGGAGAAGAGCAGCGAGGGGAAGAGATACATAAGAGAGAAGAGCAGCGGGGAAGAGATACTTACCTGAGAGCACCTGGTCTTCATCTCTCTGGCCTCCAGTGCGAAAATCGTGTGATCTCATACATGCATTTGGTGTGATTGTGTGCACTCATTGGTGATGAACTGTGCAGTTCATAGCAAGTTCGATCTTGTTTTTTTTTTTTTTAATGTTAGTTCCTCCCTATCCGGGTGAGGGGTGTGCAACAACCTGCTCCAATATGCTTATGTCGTCGTCTAAGGGGGCCACCCGCAGGCCACAACACGGCCCTTAGGCCCTGTGTCCGACCATGGAGAACAGAACCCCTGACGTGTGGCTTTAGAGGCCCTCTGCCCGACAGTTGACTGAAGTCAACTGTCTGTCGGAATATTGAGGCCCACGAGTCAAAGGCTTCACGGACCCATTCCAGGCCACCGATCAGATGCACGCACTTGGTTGTATGAAGGTATCCAGACAGCATTCGGTCCAAGTGGAAGTCTGCAACTGTACGAGATCCAGGCCGTCGGCTGTGAGTCAATCTGAGCCTCCGTAGGGGAGAGACCAGAGGCAGGTCAACTTCGTCCACACTATTTATTAACCCTGCCCCTGGGATTCAACATTCAGTTGCTGACTTGATGCTAGCACGCCGCTCGCTTGACGCTGGCTGGACGCTGGCAAGACGCTGGCTCTA